AGACACGCTCTCAACTCGGTGCAAATACTGACCAGCCCGGCATCGATCGCTAAATTTAGCCATTATCTGACCAATGTAGACCGTCCAGGGCCTCACTGGAGGCCGGTGCTGGTCAGATTGATGTCTCTATCTAAATGAGGGCCTGTTTTACAGGCGGCATCTGGTCTGTGTTTGCCGTCGGTCATGTTCTGACATCGGACATACCCGCGTCCCGTGTTATCTGGTCACACAGGGTTTGTAACAAACACACACAGGGGGCGGACCGGCGCCGGCGTCGAGGAGGGGGGGGGGGGGGAGAGGCCGAAGGACCGGCCGCCGCTCTATTAGCGGTCGAATTGTTGGCCGATGTCTGTCGTTCACCGCGCTCAGATGACGGCATCCGCCGGCAGAACGACGCCGCAGCGCCGTTTGATCTGTAATCGAACCCCTTCCACAGCGGCAGCTGCGCCGCGCACAGCACAAAACCTGGCGCGGCGAGCGGCGGCGCAGGTGCGGCGAGTACGCCGCGGCGCGCCACGACAGCCGCGCTGCTGATGGCACCATCAACTAGCGTCTAAACAGGAGTGCGAGCGACGAAAAGCGCCAGACAGCGACGTTGCGCCTTCTGGCCAGCGCGGCGGGCGGGCGGGCGGGCGGGCGCAGTCTCCTCTCGCCAGCCGAGCCGGCGCCTGGGCTGTTAGACTAACCCGCAGAGCACTGCCGCCCGCCCGCACACGGGAGAGACGGCCGAGCTCCCGGCGCACGCTGGGCCGGCGGACCGGAAAAGCGCTAGAAATACCCCCAAGAGTGACTTTCCACACTATGAACAAAATATGTATCATTCGATCCCAAATTGATCAAAGCATACGATTCTGATGCCATTTTTGCCCTAAGGTCGAAATTGAGGTGGTCAGTTGTCACCAAACACAAGACTATTTAGACCCGCTAGTGGCCACCACATTTGCCGATTTTAATGCCAATCTTTAGTTGATATTTATTAGTTGACCAGTTGTCGTTTTGAACGCAATTTTCTGTCAGACTAGTTCAGGGCACTGTTGTTCACTGTACCAACAACATTCTTACATATTGCATCGCTTTTCTGCAAGATAAGCTAGCTTTTTGCAAGCAGCTGCAAGACCTAAATAAAAATCATATCTAATTTTTTAAATAGACTTTTATAAAAACGTTATTTCGAGCGGCTAAAAATGAACATCTTATACTAGCCTCTGATTACTCATCTTTCGTTCCATATAGGTGCTTTGCTGCTTTTCCCTGCTACTTTTCGAGATATGCGCCAGTCAACCACATGATGTAGGGGCAATTGTCACCTCGCCGCTCTACTGACGGCCCGGCGCTCTTTAAAGCGCCGAAATTTATGAAAAACGAATGTTTATAATCTGAATAAAATATATGTCCCTGAGCTCAGAATTGATCAACGCACACAATGCTGTCAATATTTTTGGGCCAAAGTCAATAATTAAGTCATTATGAACCCCCAAACACAAGTAGTGATAATCAACAACAACTTGCTCTTTATTTAGACTTTTTGAGAAATGGTATTTCGAGCCGCTAAAGATGAGCATGTCATGCAAACAACTAGTCAATTGTCTGCCTTGCCCTATTGACGATTATTGCCTATTACTGCTACTTTTCGAGATATCGTCTGGCGTCTGCTAAGTCACCTGAAATAGCTGCTATGCCACCCTGTAGGGTGGCATAGCAGCTATTTCAGGTGACTAAGCAGACGATATCTCGAAAAGTAGCAGTAATAGGCAATAATCGTCAATAGGGCATGGCAGACAATTGACTAGTTGTTTGCATGACATGCTCATCTTAAGCGGCTCGAAATAACATTTCTCAAAAAGTCTAACTAAAGAGCAAGTTGTTGTTGATTATCACTGACTTGTGTTTGGGGGTTCATAATGACTTAATTATTGACTTTGGCTCAAAAATATTGACAGCATTGTGTGCGTTGATCAATTCTGAGCTCAGGGACATATATTTTATTCAGATTATAAACATTCGTTTTTCATAAATTTCGGCGCTTTAAAGAGCGCCGGGCCGTCAGTAGAGCGGCGAGGTGACAATTGCCCCTACATCATATGGTTGACTGGCGCATATCTCGAAAAGTAGCAGAGAAAAGCAGCAAAGCACCTATATGGAACGAAAAATGAGTAATCAGAGGCTAGTATAAGATGTTCATTTTTAGCCGCTCGAAATAACGTTTTTATAAAAGTCTATTTAAAAATTTAGATATGATTTTTATTTAGGTCTTGCAGCTGCTTGCAAAAAGCTAGCTTATCTTGCAGAAAAGCGATGCAATATGTAAGAATGTTGTTGGTACAGTGAACAACAGTGCCCTGAACTAGTCTGACAGAAAATTGCGTTCAAAACGACAACTGGTCAACTAATAAATATCAACTAAAGATTATCATTAAAATCGGCAAATGTGGTGGCCACTAGCGGGTCTAAATAGTCTTGTGTTTGGTGACAACTGACCACCTCAATTTCGACCTTAGGGCAAAAATGGCATCAGAATCGTATGCTTTGATCAATTGGGGATCGAATGATACATATGTTGTTCATATTGTGGAAAGTCACTCTTGGGGGTATTTCTAGCGCTTTTCCGGTCCGCCGGCCCAGCGTGCGGCGCAGCGCGGACGATAATTTCACCGTCAGCGGCGCCTCAAGGCCGCCGCTCCGCCTCTGGAAGTGAGCGTGTTGACACTACCTAACGATGTTGATTGTTGACTTACCAGTCAGCGCCGGCGGCGATTGCAGATGTCCGCCCGCGATACCTTTCAGCAGTTCGCTCGGGCGGCGGTTTTCCTGCTCGCTGCGGCCGCAAGTAACTCAGTCCAAGGCGTCTGCCGGCTAATGGAGTGACGACAGACAGCTCGTCACACCTTTCGGGCGGCCCACTGCAAACATCGCGGCGTGGAGCTACCGTTCGGGTTATATTGGGCATTCACAGACGAGGAACGATCACACAAGGTGGTAGGTTGAGTTAATGGATGCTATTCACACAACGTGATAGTTGTAAAAGGAGTCGCCTAGTTTGTCACTTGTCAATTACATCGTAACAAGAGATGAATGATTCAATACGGTCGAAACCGCACATAACAGACTCGTATTAGGCAACAGAAGTCAGTGCCGAAGCTTCCGTGTTTGCTGATGGCGGCAGTTTGGAAGTAGCTTCAACCATTAATCCGCGAGACGACGCCACCACACCGCAACGCACCACGCCAACAACTGACGGCTCACCGTGACCTAGCTGCCCTGCGGCGTCCGGTCACGTGGTCTCACTCAGCTGACACGGTCGGCGGTCCCGTGATCTTTCACTCAGCTGACCACCCACTCGGGCACAACAAAGGCCTCCGAGTGGCTGGGAGGGAGCTTCCGCTCACTCGAGTGAATCCCGGATAATGCACGTATGGGTAATTAACGACCCTATGCTCTTACGTATGAGAAGGCCGACATAAATTATTGAACTTATATCAGGGTTTTAGATTTAGCCAGTAGCAAGGTGCGAGTTATATACTGCTGCATCTGGCGTAAATGCCGGCGAAAATGTTACTCGTAAAACGTTTCTCGATATCTTGCCATTCGTTGAGCTGAAGTGCAGTGAGAGTTATGGACCGGATGAAAGGCTCTTTCGACAAAGTTAAAGTCGCCGTCCTCTAGAACCGACACGGAGTCCGAAATAGAATCGCAAGTCCACCGCAACTTAACTTCCTGGCTGAATTGGCGTCAGTGACTCGAGGACTGGGGAACATGTTCACAATCACCCAGAAAACCAGACGGCTCCCTCTTTTCCACCGTACGAAACACAAACTACCGGTCAGTGTTCATAAATAAAGCATATATTAACACTTACAACATATACTGCCAGTCTATGTCGCCCTGCGTTTCAACGTGCAATCCGAGCCTCACCCGAACATGATAGTCAGAGGCTCGGCCCACACATAAGCACCAGCAGCTTTTCGCTGGCAAACAGTGACACAGCTCCTGACGCGAGAGCGGCAACGAATTTCCTCCTCATTCAGTTCCTCTGCGCCTCCTTAGTCGGAGCGTATGCAGCGCAGAATAGACATTAGTGGCGCAATGGAGCGCATCGCGACAAAGCCGGCGCAGGCGGCGTGGAGTGGCGGGCAGTCACCGAGGGTCTGGGCAACTAAATCATGGCGAGCGCGCAAAATGAGAGAGTGCACTTTGCCGAACGAGCCGAGGTGACGGATAGCCTGTTTGCTGCTGTGAAGGGCGCGCCGCGCCGACGGTGACGAAGGGCGACAGCCGAGACGATTCGGCGGGGTCTGCACGTGCAGATACGGCCGTCGATGGATAGCCGCGTGTCGCCAGCGACGCTGCGCGCGAGCGGCATCCATCTACATAGCCGTCACTGGCGAGAGCACGTCCGAACGGCTCGAGAGTTTGACAGAAGCTAACGTAACCACACCGGGCGGATTTCGGTTCCGGAGTCATCACGGAGGAACGCGTACAACACGTCAACGTAACGTTGCGGCATGGTATCTGCACGTCCGAGGTGTTAGCAATGAACTGTGGGTGGCGGCGCTCGGCGGGAGGTCGACGGCAGGTGACGATAAAAGATGTGGGACCGGGATGTTTTGCTTCAAGTCGCTGTTGTGTCGGCTGGGGAGGCGGGGAGGAGGGGAGGACCGCAGCCATGTGACAGCCGCATTGGCGCACATACATCGTCAGGAATTACAATCAGACACTCAACACGGAAACAATGAGCTGGCAGACATCCACAGGAAAACGTCGCTCCATTGTATTCGCCGGCGACAGGGGTGGGACACGACCGACGCGTCATCGCACAGAGCAGCCCGCATGTCACCAACATGGCCGGCCAAAGCATGCAGAAACACAACGGACAACTTACGGGAGCTGCACAGTTCGGCGTAGCCTCCCTCTTTGACAAAAATAAAAGACACTTCGTTAAAACGCGCACTGGCTCAGATCATTTGCCAGGCGTGCACATCTCGAAACAAAAACACAGACCATATCTGGTGATATCAAAGAGCTACGTCCAGTCTTCGCCAGCGCAGAGGGGCCGTCCCCGCTCTTTGGCCAAAGACTAGTGTTATCACATTGACTGCGGGAGGTCGACCTGACGCCGGGGCCGACCTCACCGCACACCGCCACACTGAGACTGCCCGGCGGCAAACACTCACGAGCGCCCGCCACTGTCTACCGGCCCGCACCGGTGCGAGCGACTTTAGCGAGTGTCATTTGAGCGAACGTCATTTGAGCGAACCATTTTCAGCGAATGGCAATTCAGCGATTATCAAGTTCAGCGATTATCAAATATAGCGATTATCAATTTTAGCGAAAGCTATGTTTCAGCGACATCTATTTCGTCGACTACAATTTGAGCGACTGCCAGTTCAGCGAAACACTTCATCGTCCTGTAACGTTCTTTTTTGCGAGCGTATACGCGCGAATGTTTTCGGAATATCTCATGGTTATCCGGAACTGGATGGCGAATGTCACGTCCAAAGACCTCAGACATTGAGCTCCAAATGTAATGCTACATTTCTTAACAATTCCAACGGTTCAATTTCACCCCCTGCTCTTTATAGAATTTAACAAATAGAATAGTTATATTAAGTTTTGTCCAGACGGTACCTACTCATAGGCGGCGGAACGAAGGGGGGTACCGGGGCACCGTGCCCCCCTTGATTTTGGCATTTTAACATTAGCCCTATGGGCGTTGCATGGAGAGAATGAGACCAAAAGTCGGCGGTGCCCCCCTTAATTGAAGGTGTTCCGCCGCTACTGAACGGTAGCCAATCCATTGTATTTAATTTTGTCTTTACCTCTGGTGGATTACAAACTGTTAGGTGTTATCATGACGTATGAAATAAAACAAAAATTTAAAAACGAAACGTTGCAAGATCAATGATTAAACGTTGCGAAATGAGGCCTGATATTTTTGTGGTTTCAGGTTTCCAACAAGATTACTAGAACAAGATAACAGATTTTCAAGATAACAGTCGCGCGCAGCTTGAAGCATGACACAAACCAAACGGGTATTCAAAGGGCAAGAATTTCCGAAAAGTAGAAATTATTGACTTTCGTCGCGTTCGGTTTCGCTGTAACTCTATTCGCTCAATTGGTCTCCCATTGACCACCATATATTCGCTCAATCTGGTTTCGCTGATTCTGGTCCTCGCTTACGTTGATAATCGCTGTGATTGAATTCGCCGACTTGACAATCGCTGAAAAAGTCAATCGCTTAAATTGATAATCGCTGAAAATGTTTCGCTCAAATGTCGTTCGCTGAAATGACGCTCGCTCAGGTGTCGCAGAACCGGCCCGCACACAGTTCTCTGCACGTCCGGGCGGCCGCTTCGTCCACTCCGGAACACCAACATTAACGAGCCAGGCCTCCAATGCCGGAAACGCAGTTTACGAGGCCTACGAGTGATTGCATTGCTTGCCTCCGCTGGTGCTCTCGGAGACGCGCGTCCCAGCAGAGTATTTTTCGATGACACCTCTCTGCCAGCGCGCGATGACGGGCGGCACCTGTCAACTGTCAACTGTCAGCCGGCACCCTCGCCGACGTCCGACGCGTGCGTATGACAGCCACGTCAAAGAAATTCGGAAGAAGTCATCTTCACACTCTCAGCTGCAGCCGATTCAGCATTCATCATAATCCAGGAAAACGCTGGTGAAGTGCGGAGGAGACACTTTTCTCGCGCTTTCAACTAAACTCTGCTTCTAATATCACCTTTCATTCCCGATGAAATCGCTCCCCAAATGCGCTGAGGATGTCAGCCACACCAGTCATTGGTTCACCTCGATATCTTGCCAAACGCTGCCCAGGATATGGGAGTGAACACATACACCGGTACATTAACTGGAGAGCGATGCTCACCGCACTATGGGGCGCGGGCGGCCCTGATCACGCTGTTTGAGTCCAGCCTCATGCCACGCGGAATGAGGTCGTCACCTGACCTGTTGACACGTTCACGGCGGGTTTATTCCTCTGACCTGCGGACCGGCTCATCTGACCTGCGAACCGGCTCATCTGACCTGCGGGCCCGCTCATCTGACCTTGCTGACCCCTCATCTGGCGAGAATGACGCTCACCGCCAGAATGAGCCAGTTGGCGATCTCGTGACAGAGCGGACAGCCGTTATCTGGAACGGAAGGAGAGAAAACCACGGTCAGAGAAGAAATAAAACACGTCAATGGGTTCAGGCTTAACTGGTTTGTGCTTGACTGGACTGGACTAACTGGACTATAATTGGTTTATAAGGCATCCAAATAGTCACTGTGTTTTTTTTTCTTTTAGAAGGCAGTCGGAACAAGGTGCGCAAAAGCATGAAGTCTTCTGACCGCCACATTTCATTCGGTCTGCAATGTTCCACTGAACTTCAAAATGGACATCTCTCTCCATTTGTACTCGGATGCAGTTCCGTCGCCACAAGACATGAAACAATTTCCAATATCGTGTCCCTCAGCGAAAACAAATGTCCTTCTGTCACACTGACTCGAAAGAAACTCATATTTACGACGGCCGCCAATAAATACCCGGACACGAAACAAATGACAGGTGATACGGAACAACGGCGTCCACTTAAATAAATACAGCCCGAGAGGAGCCATTCCCCGTAAAATATCACTGGCGCCCCGGCGAAATACACTCGGGTGACTGCGCCCAATTTCCTGCGGCAAAAAGCCTCTGGCGACGCCATAGCAGCGGTTATTGGAAGCACCCCGGCGGAGGCGGACGCTGGGGCACATTGCGATATAATGCCGCCCATGGCGTACGATTTCCATAGAGCTATTTCGGGCCACCGAGTGACTCAATGCATGGAAGTTTACCGTTGGTCTATTGCGATTTATGGGTTGCGAGTGAAATCGCAAACTTGATTTGTTTCCTATAATTCCTCTGATTTAGCAAAACGATCAAGTTTTCCGAAAAAGGCGGTTACTAGACTAACGAATGCATTCAAAATACATGTGGCAGTCGGCACTGCCTTCTTACATGCTGCCATTAGGAATCGCAGATTGTAATGATTCCCTTTGGTCGCTTTCCCACGAACACAGTTACGCTCCCGTTGTATGTGGCGGGTCACATCGGCACGCGTACGGTACGCACAGTCGCACATCCGTGACAGCGGGACGGCCCGCCATAAATGACACTAATGACGACGGCGGTGCCTGTTACGTCAATGGAGCGTACTGCTGCGACGGCGCCGTCGTTGTCATGTCACGTGCCTGCCGTCGGTCGGCGGGGTCGAGCGACTGATAAACAAATTACGGACGAAATTACTGCCTGTGCCGGCCCCGGGCGCAGCCGACCCAATACTATCCGGTTTACGACTGAGTGCAAATGACTGACGGAATTAGTTTTACTACAGCTGGCAGTTCGAACTGATTTAGAGTGAACCCATCTGTTGATGGGTGGAGCTGATTTGGAAATCGGCTGATGAGGATGACTACCATTGCTAATGTTGATTTCATTTTAGGGTGTTGTTACTAAATGGTTATATGGATCCAGTCATAATAAGCATGATTCAATGCGTGGAAGCGTTTAGGATGGCGAATAAAAAGGAAAAGACGCCGGCTCGAATTCTAGACATACTTGGAGACATTTCGTTACACACAATGACGTAGGAGGAGTAATTAATTTTGAAAAATTAATTACGGACAGACAATTTCATTCCCATCAGAGCAGTAGCCACAGTCCGAGCCGAGTCCGCAGCTGGTGGTTAGATGAAGACAGATGACCTACAACGGGCCATTTTACCCGCCTCATGAAAATCAGACTCGGCCGCGGCCCAGCCGCCGCGCTGACGAGCCGTTTTGAAAGGCCGTCCTTTTATGAGATCCTCCCACTGCTCTCTCCGCCCGCACGCGAGGCGCTCCTCGCTCTGCCTGCCTGTTGACGCACATTTTTCATCATCCGCATCCCGTCCTCAATATCGCACGCATCTCCCTGCCTTCCGAGACGTGGGGCGGAGGGGGAGAAGACACCCGGAATGAATACACAAAACCGGCCGACCGGCCGGCGCGGCGGGCGGCGCGGCGGCGCTAGATTGAAATATACGCCGTCGACTGTTGCGCGGCTGGTGCGCCACTGTCGCCGCTGCGTCGTATTGTTTTTGTCGCTGTTTTGTCGCCGATAAAAAGTGCGTCGCTCGTCCGTCGGCGATCAGGCCAGCTGTTGCCGCCGGCCGCCGGCTTTGTGTCATCGGCCGAGTCGCCCGTCGGCCCGTCGGCGCGCCCTTTATTGCCAATACGCAGCCGACTAGTGAGAATAACGACGCCCTTTGAGAAGCCATTAAGCCAGAATTGTGGGGATGACTCATAATTTCGCAGAGTAAGCGAGCCCGCGCCGTCGCCGCTGTCCCCTGCAGGCACGTGTCGCGTCCCGGCTCATCGCGCGTCTAGCGGCATCGGAGGCCGGAGCCCACCCGCCGAGCGACGGCGCTGCACGCGCGGGTTGGAGACCGGGCGTGGTGACCGGCTGGTACTGCCCGGCCGACGGACAGAGGACACAGTGCACACCATGGCGCGAGTTACCGTGATGAAACCTGAATTAGGGACGAAGACAAGACAACAATCGCAAACGATAGCCAAAATTAACAGGAGAGCCAGAGACGAAATCAATCACTAGCATTAACACTTTCGAGTTTCTAGGCACGAGCCAGAGTCAAGCCATAGAAGTCAAAATGCACCCTGGTGCGCGAAGGGAGCCGCGGTCTTTCTTTGAGCTGTGACAGTTTGAGCCGTCGCGTCGGCTACACAAAGGCGCCACTTTGCACCACCCGGGCGTCAGTCTCGTCACCCGGGCGTCACCCAGGCGTCACCTCTCGTCTCTCAGTGACGCCCGCATCGTTCCAGTGATAGAAGGGGCGGCGACGAAGCCGGTTTTTGCTCGGCGCGGAGCCCCGGCAAACTGACGTCGTCCCGGCCGAGCGGCTGAGGAGGCGTAATTGGACGAGGAACAAGGCCACTGAAGGCCGCCGGAAGTGGAACACAAACAGTGTGGCTGACCACCCACCGCGGGTGTGGCTACAGCGGGACGAGACGGCGCTGCGGCTACCGGGCTGGCGAGAACTCGGACCACTCTGGATCTCATCATAAACATACATACAGATAACACGACATACAACCACCGCACAGTCACACTGAACCTTCCAATCTCCATTCAATTACACAACAAACAACGAACAACAAACACCGCACCATCCAACTTCCACACACTCCAAACAATGTACAACAAACACCACACAGTCACACCACAACACTTCCACCCCCACACGGAAACTGACCGGAAGTCTTACTTTTCCGGTTGTCGGCCGTGCTGTCGAGCACCTGGGAGACCTCGGGCGGCCGGTCGCCGACGGCGCTCTCCTCGCGACTCTGCCAGTACACCGGCTGCACCATGTCCGGAATCTGCGAGACGCACTTGAGCTTGATGTTGCCAGAGCGGAAGTGGTGCGGCCGCACTCGGAAGTGCAGGCCGGCCGTCATCGTCTCCAGACCGTCGTCGTGGATGGTGGGTGGCCAGAGTTCCACATGCTCCAGCGCCGCCTGTGGGGAGAGGGCGTCCACGTTAAAATCCACGAGAGGCCACGGCCGTCCACAGTCACGAGGTGGATATTTGGATGGAATGGTCGGAACCAGTACAAATGTTGGATAAAAACAACGAACCCGTTTTTCGTATTATCCAACATTGCTGACTGTGTAGCGAGAAGCATTATTTAAGGGCGTAACGGAACATTGTATGTAAAAAGCGAGGCACGGAAGCATGTTTATATGGATAAGTGTCAAGCCCTTCCGAAAGACACACTGCGAACTGTTAGGGATAACCATCTTAAACACATCACTTTTTCCAACAAACCCGTCAGATAAGAGGCAAGCACACCGCATTAACGCTAATCCATCCGGGGCTGGCTACATTTAGTACGCTACCCTGCGTCATGCCCTGCGTTCAGTACGGTCTGCCTTTCGACTTTCTTAGCTAAAACGGTATGACAAACGCACTACTGAACTGAAACACAACGACTAACTTGCTGATTCATCTCCGTATCAGTAAATTTGGCTCTAGCCGGCCGGCCGCTGTTGCTAAGATCGCCGTGACCAAACTTAAGCCACCAGTTAACTTGTCGGCAAAAATGATGGATGACCATTTCGGAGCCGACGGGGAGCAGAAGTCTTCTCCACAGCGAAAAGTAGCGACAGGAGTCACCACAGCCAGTAGCGGCCACCTCCGAGCCACTTAGGTGGACTAGCCTGGGGCTTGTTTTTTCTTTGCGTTACGTAGGGCCTCGTAAAAACCTCATGCGTGACCTGCGTGCATTCCCCGTGCCTAATTGAATTGGATGCGAGAACCCGACAGCCAGAATACCAAAGTGTCCGACAAAAATGAGCCGAAAGTTTCCGAGTAATTTTCGTCGTGACGCTTTAGCTCAGGTCAGTAACCATTGTCGTGCGTTAGTCTCAATCGTTGACGATAAAAACGATTGATAGCAGCGATAGCAACACTGATCTATGACGCTAGCAACAAACAACACTGAGCATCTAATGTATTATTTCCGTCCTACTACCCTAATCACATGACCTTCCACTGTCCTACCGCATACTACCGTGATACGAGCTCACAACCATTTAAACCCGTCCGCCGCCCGAGCCGTGACCAAGCAGACGGGTCATCACCGTGACACACGACGGGGTGGTGACTGGCGGCTCTGCCGTCATCCGGCCCCTCCCCTCCCCCTCCGCGGGGCGCCAGCCGGACCCATCTGTCCAAACAGGGGCGCGTGCGGCGCCGCCGGCCCGCAGACAGACACACAAACAGCGCGCGGACGGCGCACGTCACCACCGCAGCGCACAACAGCTCTCCGACAACAGCGTGAGCGAGCCGTGCGTTCACGCGCAGCGCCGCCACTACCTCTGGGCATTGCCACCGTGCAACAGCGAGCTTTGGCAATGCGGCGGCCTTAATTTGACTGTTAACCCTCGCCCCGTTGGGGGGGGCCATTTTGCCCCCCCCCCTGTGGTTTTTCCTGAATAGCAAGAAAACGGCGGCGCGCAGCGCCGCCAAATTTTCAGTACCTTCCCGGGCATCAAATTGACACCTTCACACCAAATTTCAAGTCTTAGGTCACCTTAGGTCAGGAGTTATTGAGGTCAAACTGAGGTCATGTTCGAGCAAAAATGAGCAAAAAACATGCAATCTTGAAACGCTCACCGAATCTACAGTTATCAAGCAATTTCAAAGTTCTTTATATGGTCTAGTAGACAAAAGGCGGCGCTACAAAACTGCTATCTCGGATTTTCAAAATTTTGGGTTATTGACCCCAAAAAAATCAAAAAATTGATTTTTTTTGAAAAACTAAAAAAAAATCCAAAATTTTTCCGAATTTCGAAAAAACCGGAAAATATGTGATAGGCCCTGCGCTCTTCTATATACATACCAAATTTCAGATCGATATCTCGTTTTTTGGCCAAGTTATAGCGAAAAAACTGTTCAAAAATGATGACGTCAAATTTTTGAACTCAATTTTTAGCTATTCTAGAACACGTACGGCAAAACAAAGACCACCATTGAACTCCCCGTGACGAGCTGCATCGATTCGATACCCATTTTATGCAAAAATATTAGCTTTGAAATTTGACCTAATTTGACCTGACCTTGACCTGACCTTGACCTGACCTTGACCAAAACGTGACCTAAGCTGGCCCCAAAGGCTGCCTGAACCACATAATCGCATTTGTCATGTAAAATGGACCATAAAACATGTATCACACGACACTTTCATATTGTGACCCCCCAGTGACCTGACCTCTGTGACCTGACCTGGTATCAGTGACCTCAAATAGCAAAATATGTGTTTGAAGAACATTTCCCCATCGATGATTTTCAATGAAATGCATTTTACTCGATTTAACAACGCATTTCTTGAAATGCCTGTAAACGGTGAAAATTGGACCTTTGACCTGACCTGTGACGTCATCGGTTTGACCTAGGTCAATAAAATTCGGTCACAAGGTAGTTCCCTGATAGGGCTATCCAACACCGTTTGCCGCTTGTCGCTAGGTTGCGTGGTTCTCGAGATCTTAGGGGGGGGGGCCAAAATGGCCCCCCCCCCCCAACGGGGCGCGTTGCTCGGCAGAGCCCAACGGGGCGCGGGTTAATGTTCCATAAAACGTCATGAGTTATGTCATCTGCTTCTCAAATGCTTCATGCTCTTACCATTACTCGCATCACAGACTCACTCCATGCACATCAATCCAAGTCACCCAGTCACTCTTCTCACCTCCTCGTTGTTGATGAACCAGGTGAGCTCGGCGGCTGGTTTGCTCTTGTAGGAGGTGCAGTTGACCTTGACCCGGTCACCGACCTCGTAGCGCGACTTGCCACCGGTTATAACCGGGCCCTCCTCGGGAAACACTGCAGATAGAACCGGAGATGCCGTTATTAATCTGCCCGGTAGCAGACATTGTGCAGTTATGGGCTGCGCAGAAGGAAGTACAAGAAATGTTGCGTTTAGGTGCCTTGATGGGCGTAATGCTAAGTAATTCGAGCATCTCAAGGTGCTACGAAGAATCGCAGTGCAGATGTAGCCCGAGCATGTGTTAGAAAGGCTGGTATTCATCCTGAGCATATTTAATAATAAAAGTATTCTAGGTCCGGCTTTTCAAGTTCACACCCACAAAGCTGATGAAGCCTCAGTGGCACCATCGATGGCGATCGTTTGTTAGCGGAACTATTTTAGGCAGCTGTTTTATTCGTCGGCGAATATGATGATCAAATAACCTGCTAATGCTCCTCACGGATGACACTTTCGCCGAATGCCTCAAAAAGCAGGTCAAATGTGTATTCACGGAATAAATCCGCAAATATTTAAAGACATGATGTGGAGATGAATTGTGAATTAAAATGAAATCGAACTTACTCCACAAGAGTTCGTTGGGTCGGAGCTTTCGAATTGTATTACAATTCTTCGTCAGCGAGAGTCGTATCGGATGTTAAGATACGACTCTCGCTGACGAAGAATTGTAATACAATTCGAAAGCTCCGACCCAACGAACTCTTGTGGAGTAAGTCCGATTTCATTTTAATTCCGCAAATATTACTCCCATGATGGTGATAAGCTGGTGATAAAGAGCCGGCCAATTTTGGACTTTGGCGACCAGCTATAAATCCGCGAGGCGGGTCTATCTCATATACAGATGGATCAGCATAAATACGGTTGGACGTTGACATGGTCCAGGGCGTCACATTCCCAAGCGACGTGTTACCTTCGTCACCATTCACGACAGAACGATTTCGTCTCCTATGTTTCCATTCTCTGATCATGCGAAACGAGATGACGGAGCAAAGGTAGCAAGGATAAAACTCTGATCTCCACTTCCAATTCAATCCTTGTGTTGCTCTCCGAATCACAAGAAGGTGTTTGTTTAGGTGACAAATATATTCGTATATTCAAGAAAATATGTTAAATGCATGCATATATTTTTATTTTTGGTAATACTGGATAGCATTCTTGCAGCATCTTTTGTCACAATTTTTTTTTTAACTAAGAAACCTCCATAAACGTAGCTATTGCAGTCATTCCATCAGAAATCGATTCACTTAAGTCAATTATCTCATTTCTCATAATTGAGATCGTCGGCGTTTGATGCTTTTGAGCTATTGGTGAAGTCCATCAGGTCCTTAACCGAGCTCATAAAGCGCTATTTCTGGAACCAACACTTAAAGTAAGCCAAAGAAAAGAAAAGAAACCAAAGAAAAGTAAGCCATGCTTGAACGAAAGTGCAATCAATTATTGATCTACCAATACTCCAGATTTTAAATCTATTGCAGACTCGTTTCATTTTTTATTTGTTTACATTACATCTGATCTAGCATAACATTGAACTCAGCACAAACGCATGGGACCCAGTGGTGCACTTAGACCCGACAATATATCGGGCAGTTGATAGACCACCTCATATTTGCCGGTCCATATCATTTTGACACTATCCATTCCTGCACAAAATGTACCTCTGAATACCTAACTGATAAACAAAGGACTCTGGATTTATTTCATAACATCAGCCTGCGACCCAACCGGCCGCTCCCAGCTAATACTGAGCGACATTGGGGAAATTTCCTCGACAAAGGACACAGAGGTTCAGTCTACTGGTTTTATTTCTCTTTCGTATACCCGGACTCGTCGCTAGTGTTCATGCACTTCAGCACAATAACGTAGCACAGGGAGCGGCCGGTTTCGTGGTAACCGTCAGCGAGTTTTGGGACGACTTAAGTGAACAGAAGCGTGACCACCGAGGGAACGTCAACTGACACTTGCACTGTGCATTTAGCACGGAAGGGTCGCAAATTAACAGTAAGCTAATCCTATTGAAAAGCCATTTTTTTATATTAGGAAGATCAGCGCATTATCATTTTTGTCCGTGTTTTGTGAAGCCCGAGTCATATAGTGAGTGATGACAATGATATGTGCTGATAAATGCCGAGCAATTTGCTATCAATCCATTCGGTTTGAGGACGCGATATTTGTGGTGGCAGTTAGCAATAATTGTGAAACAAACTGAATGCTTCGGCATCCTTACAACAACGCTAATCATGACATTTTTCGGACGTGGCGCACGGGGGCTCATATTTTCATGCGCCATTATATTGGAAATAATAAAGGGTGCAACTTAGTCTAAAGCATAATTCACTAGCGAAACACAGAAACCTTGAGGAATCTTCATAAACAGCAAACAAGTTTCTTTCTAAGACAAATAAGTTGAAATAAAGCGCAGCCGTTCTTTGTCCTACTTTCAATTTCACCGGAGCTAATTGAAGCAAACTAATTAGCCGGCCTCCTGCAGGAATACTGAGGCGATTCCTCTCCGGGGCGCTAGAAAAACAAGCGCCGTACGGCTGCGAGATACCACCATCCGTCATCGTAACGAACCGTCATCTATCTCTCTATCTCGCTCCTGTCGGGCCGCGCCACCCGATTCGGAGCGAACTTCGTCCTTCCTCCCCGTCGGCCCTCACCCACTCTACCGCCCATCTAGTCCAGTGGGCAGCCACCCATCAGCCTAATGAACAAAACGTCGCTTCCGCTCCTCGCTAAGGCCCGGTAATACGTGCGAGCGAATGAGAGGCACGACGCCGTCTCAGCACCCCCGGCGAATCCACGCAATCCTTCCTCTGCTGAGAGTTGGCACACGGCGAGCTGCAGAGACCCCGGGCAGCGGCCAGCCGACGGGACGCGCCGAGAAATGGCCACCAATTAGTCTGATTACGATAAATGCGAAACAAATCTGCTCCAGCTAGTGTTGGCGGGCGGCCAGCGCGGGCGGCAATCGCTGCCGCCCCCGCTTGCCGCCCCCGCCCCAGCCGCGACGGTCGCCGCCCCCGCCCGGAGCCGCTGCAGCTTCAAGGAGGTCGGTTGGTGGGTACAGGATATTCTGGTGAGGAAGTGCCACTCCTGTAAAGGTGTGACAGTTCTGCACGACTGGGACAAGCTCGCCTCGTAGTACGTGCGGGTGGTATAAATGACAGGGGCGTTCGCGGTGGAACCACATACAGCGGCGGAGAAAGAGCAGCACGGAGACCGATCAAAAGGCCAGCACGATAATGTGTTGGCTCTCACAAATATACCTAATGACATTATTGATCTGTAGACACTGCAGTCAGCAAAGCTAACAAATGCAGGTAACTTCTAAAATAATGCAACCTTTTGGTTGGATGAAACGTCATTTGTTAGCGTGTGAATCAGTGACATTTTTTGATCGATCAATCACACATTTTTTACACACTCTAATACCACATCATAAAAAATATGGTCCATCTGAATAAGCTCTTAGCCAGCGATGATAGAAAACGGAGAACGCAGCGATCGTAGTTAAATCTTCTATCGTAAGTATACTTTCTTATGGCCACACACTCCGGGTGGAGTGCTCTGGGCTGTCCGAAGGACCGGCACTCAAGAGGCGTATAATTTTCATAGTCAGGTGGTATTTCACAGGAATGCGATTATCCCGTGCCCATAAGACATAAGTCATCGAAATAAAGCGGTCATCGTGTTTCACAGACATCTGATGGATAACAGGCATGCAACGACTACTTAATGGGCCTCATAAAAGGGTGGAAGCTATGGAGTTCGAACTACTTTGTATGATGACAGCTAATGAGGCCAATGAGGAAAATACACCCATTTCGTTAAAACACTACCAATGAGTTGTGAAATAACCCTCGTTAACCTGAAATTCAATCATGGAATAAATGTCTATCGGCATGCAGATTCGAACCCGCGGCCCTTCTCACCTACGACGTGCACCTCGCCCTTGCCCTGCTTGGAGGAGAAGGTGGGCGCCTCTGTCGATATTTCGCACATGTACCGGCCCGTGTACTGAAGGGTCGTCTCCTGAAGACGTACGTGCGTCGCATTCGACGCAGACAACTGAAAACATGTGCAAAATGTGTATCAGTGGGCATTCATGTCAAGGAGATCGATATGCAGACAAAACAGTGAATTTGTGCAGATTAATGACATTATCTAACCTTGCATTGTGTATAGCTACTATGGCTCAAATATGGATGAAGTAGTAATAAGCGATACTAGAGTTAATAAAAGTAAGATACCCTTCTTTATGTGTTCTGATGCAATGCGCATTACGCACACTAAAATTGGGAGAAAAGAAGATAACGGCAAACTGTGTTCCATACGCCACGCACATTTCCTTACGGCTTATCCTTCCCTAAAAACCTCTGTGAATGCAAGCCCTAAAATGTCCAGTTAGTGACTATCATACCATTTGCCGTATCATTAGCCAGAAAAAAAAACTAGGCATGTACCCGAACACATTGATGACGGCACCGCAGCGAATTTTCCGACGAGGAAAGCGGCGGCACTTACATCGACCTTGATTCCCGGCTGAGGAAAGTTTTTCTTCTTCTGGCTCGTGGACGGCTCAAACCTGTAGAACTCCTTCCCGTCTTTGTACCATTTGATGGAGTAGAGCTCCTTGCCCTGCAGGTCGTAGAGACAGGCCAGGTCGGCGTCGGCACCGCGCATCACGTGCTTCGGAATGATGACCTGGTTCAGCTCCAGTGCGGCGATCCCTGAAACAGCGGAGAATAGGGCATTAGCATAGGTATACAACATACACGCCACTGAATTTCGGCAGATACGACATAGCGTAGCGACCAGTAGCGACACACAAATCAGTGCATTTAGGAGTCAAAGCAAACATAAAGCGTCTCAGCTCCTTTTGAAGAAAGCAAAATAACAAGACACGCTCTGCGATAAAATTCACAAAACACAGCCAAATAATTAATAGATAAGAATTGATCCCTTCATTTTCGACCGTTCATTTTCCGTATTAACATCGCATTTCGCACAGGCAATCCATCAATTTTCTCTGTATTCATCGCATCCAACCACGTTTCGATTCGAGCCCTTGTCGCTAACCAGCCTGCGGGTAGCGTTTCCGTGAGGTGGTTTACGTGTGATTGCGCTCCCGTTAGACTTCAAGCGTGGAGCCCACGAGCCAGTGCGCGGCCCTAATTAGTATTCATGGAAAGTTGAGTGGCCTGTGCTCTCAGTGCATCTCAATGTGCAATAAGGGCAAGATTGGCGGCCCTCAGTGCACGAGAGGGGCTTCACTGAAGTCACGAGGGTACTCTGTCGGCGAATTACAGAAAACTGAGCCGTAATTTAACACTGCGATGGATAGAGCAGCTCTCGAGTTCATCCCACGCAGCTAGAAGGTCAGTGGCGGACAGCGCCCTCAAGCTCTTGACGAGCTCTCAAAAACTCTTCGTCAAGCTCTCGTCAAGCTCTCGGCAAGCCGTCGTCAAGCTATGTCGTCTGACAGTGGATGTGCTGTGCCGACTGATCGGGCGGATGTGTTATCGACATGGTGCTGCCACATACCATGACGCTGGAGCTAAAACGGACTCGCAAATACGGACCTTCCTTGGTTGGCTTCGAAGACAGAAACAGGCCAGCAACAATCGCATTGTTAACATAAACACATAAATAGCATACTCGGTTATCCAGGCGCTATGCGAGACGGGTCAAAAAAAATAAATAAAAAGTAGTTATTCATGCCTACACTGCTTGCTAGCGAAAATCCAGTGTTTATCACCACAATTGGTCATACATTCGCGTTGACCAACTGACCAAACAGATACTCCGGATCCCGAGACCACCAATTGAAGGCATCATTGAACGAATGTTCCACTCAATGAACATGAGTGGACCAACGAGCTCAACATGTGCTGGAAGCTATGCACGACCTTGTCGGCTATGCATCAGGGCATGTATCGTCCAAATCTGCCGGTTAGTTAGGACATTGAGCTCGTTATCGCACGTCACCGAGTGTCGACAGTAGTTAATGGATGGCAAATGGAGCGAAACAGAGTCTCACACTTCCAGACCCCGCTCAAACAAGCACAACTTTTCACATCCGCACCATTCCATCATGCAAATTAGCCGTGGCGGCCCCTCCAGCCTGCCATATTTGACACCCAAGACACAGTTTTTATCCATCCCACATTTCGCGCTGTCCAAATCCAGACTGGGTCTGTCGGCGGGTCGGGGGCGGGCGCTGTGCCAGCTCGTGCAGCACCCTCTAGTAGTGACACCCGCCAACGTGAGAAGGACGTGATAAACATGTGCACGACAGTTCGCCGCCCATAAACAAGCTAATTTCCGGCGGGTCAGTGTCGCTGATTGTCAGCAGAGGTGCCGCCAGCATGCCAGTCGTCACAGACGTTTTTGTCGGTGCTGAGAGCAGCGTAATGCCGAGTTTTTCGGGGTGCATGTGTGAAAGGCCGATTTGGAGCTGTGGTTTGGCGAGATGTGACTGGTAAGGGGTGATTTGAAGTGGGCGCTAGTGGAAAGTACGATGTTAGATGCCTGTGTCTATGTGTAAAACACATAAGTTTTCATATCGAAATAATTACATATAATGAATGTTAAAAATAATTTTCAATAGAATGATCGGTTACAACTGGTATACCAGACCTCCCTCGAAAAATGAAGCACGCGCATAAATGTGACAAATATTTTTATAAAAACTGCTCCTAATTAAGCTCAAAACATCCATAGCACAACACAATTATTAACCGTAAATAAAGCTCTTTTAGAAAAGGAATGCGGGACACATTTGGACAATCCAGTTATCCTTTGATAACTGCAGCAGAATGTCAACATCATAGACAAGTCAACCAACAATCCCCGCTGAAAATCCTCGGACGCAAACAACTCAGCGCAAACATACACTGGCGTACCCCGCAGCACAGCGCTCTCATATGACAGTCATATCGACTGCACTGACACTTTTTGACGGCCTGGTAATCCAACACCGAACTGAGCTGTCGGGCTCTTTGTAAAGCTCAACCAAAAGGCGGCAGGAGCGGACAATCGTTCGACGTGACACGATAGTCCAAAACAACACCTGGGGACACCTGTGCTGAGACAGGTCACTGGAGCTCCGGCGGGGCAGGGGGACAGGCGACGAAGCGTTTGAGGATCACGTATGTCATGCAGCACGTGTGGAGAAAGGATAGCAAGCGTGGCACACTCCGGCACAACAAACGCGTGTTGAGAAATGGGGAACAAGTGTGCGCCGATTCGGGTGAGGAGGGCAATGTGGAAGGTAAGGAATGATAAAGTGTTTCATAGTTATTGGCAGTGAGCGCGCCTAAAACCCACGAGAGAGCTAGAAAATATGCACACATAGTCGGTTTTACACAAGAGTTAGTGCTAATGCGATTAGCGGGTTTTGGTCTATCGTGTAATGATCGTGCTGCAATTCATACAGGACGGGTATGGGACCTGGCTTCACGGACAAACGAAATGATCCACCACGCACAGGCACGCAATGCTACTATAAGGCAGGCGGTCGTTATGCCAGCATGTGTGCAGAGTATGCATGTGATCATTTCACGGACTGATGATGTCAGAGCTGTACTTCGGTATCAATTGTTCTACTAAAAACGGCCGGGCGCAGGCAATGTGTGCATTCTGCGGTTCAACTGATCGCGATAGCAACTAGAGTGGAACGAATGACGAGCTTCAATGGCGCAATCGCCGAACAATGCATCAATCGGGCCGATATGTGCGGATCCACAAACAGGAAAATTACATCAGTGTCTCAGCCAATTGTCAGAGACTGGCGGCCCTTATACGCTAGCTGATGATCTATCAACCAGTCGTACAGAGATTCCACGAATTCCAGGTGAAGCTATCGTGAGAAAAAATCCCCGCCCTGGTTGATTGAAAGCGCCACCAACAGCGACCACACGGTCTGTGGTCACCGGGCCACAGGATTGTAGGAATGGCACACTACTGAATGTCGCACACTACCAGCACTAGCACAATAACTGTGCACCACGCAGTTCATTATGAGAAGCCCATTATCATACAATGGCACAATCACAGCACACACATCCTAAGATCATCAGCGTCACAACAAGACCTCAGCTGACAACAAAACAACAAGGCACCCCCATCGACTAACGCAGGCTCTTTTCAGCTGACGCACGCTAAAAACAAAAGACACTAACACACAACAACTTTGGGTGGCGGCCGGCGGAATCCAGAACCTGTGGCGCATGCGAATCCCACGCCCTTTTGTCTCGAAGACAATGGGGAGATGCTGATAAAGTCACAGGATGACATGAGAAACTCATAGGCCGACACGAGCATTGTATACTGATGTCACACTTGCACGCATCAAGCTAAACTGGCTACACAATGCATGGCAGCAAACGCCGATAGCATATTATGGGAATCGTCTCACCGACAGTGGGCAAACTAGACATCATATGAGAGTCATCGAACAGTCTCAGTCAGTGTGGCCAAAATTGTAATGATGCGGGTGAATCCGCCCATAATGAAAAGTATAATGACATCCTAAAAATACAAATAAAAACATCCACACAGCAGTCACGACTCATAATAACAACCTCGAACCCAAACATCTAGGAGCAAGAGAAACACAACCTCGCAAACTCTTACAACTACGCCAAGACAACCATTCGAATACCCCAAATGTTCAAATATATGACCCAACTTAAACCTCATTTAACATCCCGAATATCAGAATGCCTTCAAAGTTTTATCAGTATTTAATATTTCTACATCATTTTCTCGTGACATAAAAAGGGTCGAAGTCAGGTTTTATTAAAATAACGACATCCTTTCAGGCCTTTTTTTCTACATCCTCCCCTAACGTAAAATGAATTTAGCCACACTGGTCTCAGTGGGGCGTCATCAGACAGTAGCGTCGCCGAACCCTTATCAAGCGTCATCAGACCGTCAGTGGGCGTCATCGGTCAGTCATTGGGCGTCATCCGCCCGACGTGGGGTCACACGACAGCACAGACCGGGACCGGACAGACATGTCACCGCCGGGCGTCCGGGCCATGGCGGTGTTTTTGTGCGCGTGTCCGCGTGTCACCGTCCGGTGGTGCCGGCAGAGCACACTTCCTGCCCGGGCCGACTGACACGATCAGCGCAGAGGGTGACTGGCGGGGCGGGACTGGCGAGATCGCTGATAAAGATAGGAGATTGGGCATCGTGGGACGGAGTGAGTACTGGATGACGGTGACCGGCTGTCACGGGGGTTACCACGAACGGCCTTGGTTCAGCCCTATCAGGTCTACAGAGTTTACCACACATGCGATCTGTATCGCAAGAAGTTCTTCCTCTATAGACTCAAAAAGTGAGATAGTCATCAAAGCTACTTAGGTCGAAGAAAAATGTTTTTCAAAGTGACCGGCGCAGTAGCGATTAGGATTTCGAGCAACATTTTTTCATATAGTATAAGCTGAGAGCTCCTGAAGTTTCGAATCCGCATCAGCTCGTCGCTGCGACATACGTGAGCTTTTCCGCTTTCCTCACTCGCCCTGCATTTTCTCGTCCCTCCCCCAGCCGTCCCGTCGAGCTGCAAATAAAGTCCGCAGGGAGGCGGAGGTTCAGTGTCCAATAAATCGGTACCACGCACCTCCCTGTTTGGCAGCAGAGGCGAGAACACCGCCTCGAGCGCCGAGCGATGTATTCAGCTGATGAAGTTGCAAAAAGAAAAACCGAACCTACCACAAGATAAAGC